CGAGTGCGTACCGGTAGTGAGCCGCACTGGTCATCAGGCGCCTCAACGCCATCAAGCGCCACCTCTTCAGAGGTGCGTCTTAACGCATCAAGCGGCACATTGCCAAAAGGGCGCCTCAGGATCGTCAGGCACCTCAACGCACCCTGGCGATTAGCAAAACCAACTACAACATCAACAACAACATCAAGGCTGCCACATCAGCAACCACACCTTAACAACAGCAAACAGCAACCACAACAAACAGCAACAACCACTACAGCAGCGCCCCAACTAACGCCTGTTGCAACCGAGGGTGAGTCTTTCGGGCCAAACATATTTTTGTAAATAACGAAAAAAGGAAAGATCTTAGTACTAATTAACTTTAAATAAATAAGGAAGAAAATATAATAATAATATAACTTAAATAAATAGTTAGTAAGGAAACATAAAGATAATATAGAAAAGAAAAGCAGTGGGGAAAAGTAGAAAAAAAGGATAAAAGAAAAGATAAATTTAATTGTAAAGGCAAATTAGATGGAAGAAAAGGATTAAAAGTAAAAGGTTTTGCATATCCATTTATAAAAAAAAGGAGTTAATTTAAACGCTGGATTTTGACCAGCCATATAACTGACCAAGCTTACTGAGGTTGCTGAACAATTTAAGCGAAAATTTATTGTTTCTCGTTTCCATTATACATTTTTTTTTGTACAACTGCTGATGATACATATTTTCACTTGAACTAGTTGCGTGAACCTATAGCGTCATAGGTATACTTATGTATATGTACATATGTGTACACATGCATACATAGATATACCTTCCAGGGTTAAATGAGGGAGTTTTTTTTTTGAATTTTGAATGAAACACAACTGACATTAAATTACGTTAATTAAAATTTAATCAATTACGATTTGCATAAATTAAAACTAAGAGATCTTATATTCTAACTTAGGGATCTAATTGTAGGCACCAATAACCTAAATACAATTAAAAGAATTAAGTGAACTGGATTAAAATGAAATAAAGATAAAGTACAATTTAGCAGGATTAAATTTACCTAACCCTAATTAAATAAACGCGACTTTTAAATATAATAAAACGAACTATGTACAAATGAAATAACATAATATAACTTAAAATAAAATACCAATTTAGGGAAAATTTAACGGAAATAATTTTAAATAAAATACTAAATTATCATAATGAGATGGCCACAGTAATAATATAATAAAATTGTAATTAATTAAATAAGAATCGTGATAATATAAAACAGAAACCTAATGCTATACAGCCAAAAAGAGAGAAAAATAAAATTAAAGGAAAATATTTTGAATACCTAAAACGAATATGATTACAGAAATATAGGGGAAGTTTTTAGATCAAATACCAGCCTAAGTTAATTTAATCGTTTTTTTTTCCTTTTTCCCTGGGTTTACCGTGATACGCTTACTTACCCTGATTAGAATACTTACCTGACTTACTTTATTTAACCTTTTGTTTATATACCTATCTGACTTACCTTAGATATACCTGCGCACTTACCTTACTTACATACATACCTGAATTTACTTACCTGTTACTACGTGATATATTTTTTTTGTGACAATACCGCACATACTCAGCTAGACTTAACCTAGTTTACTTACTTTAATTTAAGCTTAGGGTAAGCACTTACCTCAATTCTCAATATTGGGGACATACTTACAACAAATTGTGCTCACCTTAGACTTAAGAGGTACACCTACTTAGCTATTAAGCATACTTGCCTTTTTTCCCTTTACATGTTAGGATGTTTAGTTTAAAGAATTAGCTTTTAAGAAAACGAATTATCAATAAATTTGTAATAAAATGGGAATGCTGACTCTTTCCATTATTTAAGAAGGCACGTTAGGAATCTATTATCGGGCTACCGACATTAGGGTGCAACGGTAGCCATGGATGAGGGTGGGCCAGCACCGGGCGTCACACCACAATCGGTGGCGCCCTAATATTCGGCCTTAGGTGTTTATTTTGTTTATTTCCTTTTATTTCAAAGTTTAATTTTTGATATTTTTATTGAGCTTTGTACCACGATTGTTTATTAGGAAAAATTGAAAAAGCAACAAAGTCTAAGCGGTAGAAGTTATAGCACTATTTCGGAGATCACCACATCTCCTCATCAGACTTCTTTTTTCTAGACTTCAGCAGGGATCGAACCTGCGTATTCGATGTTCAAAGTCAGAAGCATTTACCACTGAGCTATGTACATCCCGTAAACTGTTGTTGCTAATTCATTTTCCTTAT